TGCAAGTCCATTCGAGTCTTCCACAGGCATAGCAGGGCCCCAAGTACTTGGGTCATCCTTGCTGCTTTCCCAGGTGCATTAGCAGGGGATTGGATTAGAAGTGGAGCAGCCAGGAATTGAACCAGTGCTCATATGAGATGTGTTATAGGTGGTGGCTTAACCCACAACCCACTGTGCCACATGCCAGCTCAATAAAATTCCTTTTATTTTTTCCACTTTATTCAAAAGGCAGACAGACACACACACCCACGTGAGAGAAAGGGAGGGAGAATCTTCCCTCTATTTGTTCACATCCCAAATGTCTAAACAGCCAGGTCTGGACCAGGCTGAAGCCTGGAGCCTGTAACTCCATTCAGATCTACCATGTGGATGGCAAGGACCCTAGTACTTGAGCCATCATCTGCTGCTTCCCAGGGTGTGCATTAGCAGGAACCTGGATTAGAAGTGGAGGGCATGATCCAAGCACTCCAATATGGTATACTGGTGTCCCAAGAAGCATTTTAACTACTAAGCCAAATGCCCACCCCTAAAATCCTTTTAATCTCTTAGATTCTGTGCCTGATAGGAGACTACAAATAAGCAAGCAATATGCAGTGTCTCAATCTCCTACCTATCAATACTTTTGGAATCTTGTTTTCACATAAATTAGAGAAAAAGGGCCTTGGTATCCAGTTATCTATTCCTGTAACAATGCTGCCTATGAAAGCACTCAACATTCAATAGCTTAAAGCTAAACATTGATTAGGTCTTGAGTCTGTGGTTTAGAAACGTAGGCCGGGTACAGCTGAAGAGTTGTTTTGGACAAGGCAGGCTCACTCCTGTGTCTGGCAGGCATTTGGCTGTGAGCTGATCTAGGATGGCTGTAACTGAGGCAGCTGAACTCTTCCACACGTCCGACAGGCTAACCTGGGTGTGAGAGCATCTCAGAGGTGGCAGGAAAACCAGACAACAGATGAAAACACACACTGCCTCAAGTCTGAGGGTCAGAACTGTCAGTGTCATTACTTCTGCCACATTTCATTAGGCAAAGACAGCCACAAGGGCAGCTCAGGTGCAAGGGGCTGGGGAGGAGTTTCTGCTGTTTACTGAGAGAAACTGCAAAGTCACGTGGCAAAGGGCATGGATTGAGAGAGGTACAGTATTGGGACATTAGTACATGTAATAACCTCAGTTCTCTTATTTTTTAGCATGCTCTGATACTCAACTTACAAGTAGCTATTACTGCTCACTTTTAACGAATTCAACACATTTCCCGAACATCTACTTTGTGCAGGGCTCAGGATTTTCTGAAACGGTAACACAGCCTAGCAGAAAGTACAAAAAAAGCTTTGGCCTTAAGACCAATCTACATTCACATTCCACTTCCACCACTTACAGTGGGCAAGGGACCCAATCCCAACTTCCTCTTCTGAAATATGAAGGTAGTGATCTCATTGGGTTAGTGTTAGATGAAGACAGCACACAAAAATTCATGGCAGGTACGTTTTAGCTTCATTACTTCTTTCTACTCCCGTTTTCTGGTTCCTTTTTCATAATCCTGCCCTCTAGCAACTATGGATGTCATCAAGATCATGTGGAACACCACATTCTCTCAATATTCTTTGTGCTTGTAAGCTCATATGTACAATTTCTAGCTATGAGCTATTTTTAAGATTTACTTTTTTGAAGGGCAGAGAAACAGGGAAAGGGCGGGGGGAGGGGGAGATCTGCTAGTTCACTCTCCAAATGGCCATGACAGCCAGGGCAAGGTAAGACCAAAGTCAGGAGCCAGGAACTCCATCCAGGTCTCCCACATGGGTGGCAGGGACCCAAGTACTTTGGCCATATTCCATTGCTTTCCTAAGCGTAGTAGCCAGGACTTGAACCAGCACTCTGATATAGGATGCTGGCATTCCAAGCGGCAGCTTAACCCACTGCATCACAATGCCAGCCCGTCTAGCTTTCACCTCCCTCTAGACTCCTATTTCCAGTAGTCTTCTATAGTATATCACCACTTTGATATCTTAAGTCTGCATTTCCACAACCCTTCTCAGAACTACTCCATTTTCTCCAGGCAGGCAGACTGTAAGCACATATACTGGCACTCCTTTCTTCCCTCTACCCTCCTCCAATCTAATCTTATCATGTCCTCATCTATCCCTTCAAAGTCACTTGCATCAAGATATTTCTCTGACAGCACCCTATTTTCCACTCTAGTAGGACCTAACTTCTCAATTCCCTGGCTTTTAATACCTACCTAATAATTTGGTCTCATCTTAGCTAACTAACTTTAGCTCAGTTTCATTCACTTCACTACTTGAGTTCTCATTAGAAACGGATCACATTAACAGGAAGGATAACTTTCCAGTTGCATTTTTGAGATGGTTTTGTAATCCAGCCCATAGTCATTTCTCTGAATCTATTTCCTTGGCTATAAAATAAGCCCATTAACTTCATCTACTTTGCAAAGGGAAAAGCACCAGGCATAGTGTTTACCCAATAGATATGAGTCCCCTTTCTCACTTACTCCCTGTGCAGTCCTTCCCCAGTCAATACTGTCTCATGACAATATATTGTCTTGGAACTCAGTATGCAACGAATGTCTCTGCCTTCAAGCGCAAGGACAGGCACACCAAATTCTCCGTCTATGGTGTTTTTTTATTTGCACATTTAATGTTCACAAATCATTTTACAGATTTCTTTTCACAGGTTTATTATTTATAATAAAGATCAGCATAAAACAGAGTATTGGAGAGGACCAATAAATTACTCTCAGTGATAACACAGAATACAAAGGCTCTGAAAGAACAGAGTGAACAAGAGCAGTTTGTGGCCACTTCCTACCAGGCGGGAACACTGACTTCATTAAGGCCAAGCCTTTACTCCGTTATTTCTTTCTCACACCAAGTGTACCCCAAATAGGAAGGCAATCTGTTCTCGCGTGACTGCTCTCTGAGGTCTTCGGAATATAACTGGTACAAGCGACCAGATGCATCCCTTGACTATAAACACCTGAATCGACAAGTTAAATTTTGATGTATTAACCATCCCTCTGGGAGAACTGAAAAGAAAGAGGCAGAAGTTGTTTGATTCTTAAGACTTTGAGAAAAGAGGGTATGGTGGGTGGTGGCGGTGGTGGAGGGAGAAGCGGAAGGGAAAGAAAAGGGACTCAAGGAGGGATGAGGGCAGCAAACCCAACCCTTTCCATCGTACAACTGCTCTTGTGTTCTTCTCCGATGCTGCTGATCTAGTGTCCCACCACTCAGAAACAAAGGACACTGAGTTATCGACCTCCAGTCCCTGTGGGAGGGGTGGACTCATTTCATGTACATAATAACAATTCAAAAATATGTCCTACCATGCTCTCATCTAATGTTATTCTTATCACAGAATCAGAATAGCATTTTTTCCTTTTTTTTGCAGAGGATCAGAGGAGTAGCACAAAGTACTGAAGAACAGTGCTTTTTGCCAAATCATTAGGTACAAAAAACAGACGGGTTGTTTGCAGGGGCTGAGGTGGAGGAGGAATGAGAGGAACTGCTTGCTAATGGATACCAGGGCTCTTTGTGGAGTGATGAAAATGTTCTCAAATTAGATAGTGGTGATGGCTGCACAATTTTGTGAGTATACTAAAAGCCACTGAACTGTACACTTTAAAAGGGTGAATTTCATGGTAAAGTGTATCTCAATAAAGCTGTTATAAAAATTCTTAAAAAAATAGAATAGTGCCTGGCACAAAGTGCCCAATAAATGTTAGCTATTATTAGTAGTAATATTATTGTCAACATTTGACCATCCTAAGGCCAAATTAAATCCCTAGAAATTCTCTATTTGTAATAAAATCTCACAGAATCTAGAAAAGTGTTTCTAATTTACATACATAGATTAACATTCATACATTTATTTCTACCCAAATGTTTCCGAAATTAACAGTCTAATTAAGATTCACAACTTTTGTGTTTTACACTGGACTAAAATAGCTGCATGCAATGGATGTTTTGTCAAACCAGGATAAGCTCTAGGTAAGCTGCAATGACTGATGTTACCCAAGAGTTTGAACTGACAAGAGATTTTCATTTTCAGCTCCAGAAATAAAGCAGCAGTCCAAATAGAGTAAGCAGTTAGATTATATAAAGTACATTATTAAATCTCTAAATACAGGCTTGTTAGCCTTCTAATCACATTTTTTGGGGATACTGGTTATAAAAACATGAATATTCAACAGTAAAATGCTTACCAGTCTCATGCCCTATGACTCCACCTTGCCCAAGAACAGAAAAACCCCACCATGAGAAGATCCAATTCAACTCAAGTAATAACCTCTTCAGAGGTCAAAGACTTAATGACTAATGGTTGACTTTTTAAGACCGTACTGCATATTCAAATATGTTGGCATCAATAGAGTATTTCTAATCTAAACAGCAATTGAATCCAGGCTTCACTCTTCCTATTGCTAAAGAATATCACAACGGCATCTTGGTTTTAGAAGTAGGAGCGGCAACTGATCCCCTATGACAGCAGCGATGCACCACATTCTGCAGGGATGCTCACCTGTTTAAAACTTCATCTGAAGCGTGACACTTCCCAATTCCGGCAACAGGGCTTCCTCTGTTGCAGTCCCCTGCCCTTCCAAGTCCTCACTTCTATAATCGGCCATGTGCCTTTGCAGCAAATCAGGAAAAGCTGCACTGAGGGTTACAACTTCCAGACATTCAGGTCTTAACAGCAGTCTATCACAGCAAGTAATGTACTTTTTTTGCATACATTAAGAAAATATACTAATTTCCAGAAAGAGTTAATTAAACCTGCATTTTATTCACCTTCACTAAAATAAAATAAAACCATTTCCTATGTCACCGTCACCCAAAGGTAACAGATTAATACACAGGACAGCTGCCTTAATACCCAATATGCATAACTCATGCCCCACGCGCACACAAACAATTCCCCCAAAGTTGTAGCCTTAGGAATTTCTGATCAAATGTTTCACCTGAGTAAAATTCAATAAAGACTTAATTCCCTTTGAGAAGCACGGTTACTTCTTTAATTTTTAATTATAAACACTGGGACAGATTACATAACAACTTTGGGAGAGAAACATTTTGAGTGCGAAGTTCAAAAATTGCTGACAATGAAAACGGATGACAATTGAGGCTCGATTGCAAAATCAAGATGAGCTTCTAAATATTTTCTTTGCCAATTCAAGACTGAAACATTGAGTTTGTCCTCACAATTGGCTCATTTTATAATTTAAAAGGTAAATTGTAATAAATACAAATATATAACCAATAACTCAGGATAAGGCAGGGATAGAGGGGACCAACTTTGCAGTGCTTGGTAACTGAGTACCATTTCAAGAACCCATTTGGCTTGGTGTTGTGCATGTGGGTAATCTGGCGATGGAGAAATAGGTATTAGAATCATGTGTCCAGGTGTAGGTAGTCCTTAAATACAAAATAAATATTTAAATTCTACGATAAAGAAAAAAATGTAGACTAAGAAACTCCTAGCTTTATAAGTAACTGTACATTTACAATGAATGTTTTCTGTCTGACTCCTAATCTTTGTCTACTAGAGTTCTTCAATGTGCAATTTATAGACGGCAACAGCTCGTATTACCTTAAAGGAGCCTTGCTTAGCTCAGAATCAGCTTGCCCCAGACACACTGCTCCCTGAACAGCCTTCACACTTGTGTGCATAAATCGCTGAGAGTACAAGTAGGTGCATATGTGCAAAAAAGGTACTTGTCTAAAGGGGAGGGGTCATTAGCTTTACAAATAAAGTCAAAAACTAAGAAAATAAATTGCTATTTCCCAACCTGAAAAACACATATAATGAGAAAACTGTGAAGCCTACTAGGAAAAGGCAGCAGCTGTAAACCCAACATATCCTGCACCACGCTTTCAACATCCAGCTGTTCTGTTCATCAGCCACTGGAATTCTGAATCCCTCTGTGTTCACATGGTTCAGTGCAGCCTTCTGATTAATCTTTACTTTCCAGTTAGAGGCCAAACTATACAAAATAATGAAGAATTTCTTATAGCTATGATGCATCCGAACTGCCTCAGTCCACCCTCAAGAGAAGTTGCCCACATGATAAAAAGCATCAGAGATCTCTACTTGAGTATGCTCAAGCAATGGGCCACTGAGAACTTTGGTCCAGGGAAAATGCCATGTTGACTGCCGACATCTCACAATGCACATTGTGAGTGAGGAAGCAAGACTGAACACTAGAGTGCCTACCGAGGTGCTGTTAAGCATGGCAGAAATGTGACTATACAAAAAGACCAGAGGCTGATGCTTGATATTTGTTGTTGTTCTTTTTTAAAGCAACAAGTGTAAGACTTCTTCTAATCAAGATCTGAATCTTGGTTAATGCACATTTTCTCCTTTCACATCTATAACCCTGCCCATCTGAACCTTTGTCATTGCCTTTTTAAGCTTCAGAGAGAAAAATAAAAGAAAATGGATATAGGTCATCCATTCTTATTTATGAAAAGAGAGGCATATTCTAATAGTCATAAGGCAATATGTTTAAGAGCTGCACCTGAACTGGTATTCTCAAAACTGAAAATAGTTACCAACTCCATTCAACTCGTAGGATGTGTCCATGTGCTTCCTGAGTCATTGGTTGTCACCCAAATGGACCACAATGACTCCATCATGTCCTATGGAGGCATTATACTATGTGTAGTATGCACATATATTTCAAAGAAATAGTACTAAGAGGGAAAGGACAGCCTTTCAAACATCAGTTCCTTATATAAGTGGTGACAGTGCTACATGGCTCCCTTTTAATCTCCTCTCCTACCCAGTTACCCAATACCTCCAAAATTAGAGAAAAGAGGGCCAGAGGCAAAGTTCCATGGTGAACTGCATCTTTCAGATGCGTTTTCAGTTCACTTATTTACTGAGTTACTATGGAGTGAAGGTGAGAATCATCCAACTGATGACGAAATAGAAGAGGAAAACGGGATAAACAGCAAGGGCTCTCCGGTTGGGTGGCTGGCTGTCAGCAAGAAATGCAGTAGAAGCTAAACAAAAGACAAAACAAAAAAGAATATTTAATAGAATAACATTGTCACAATTACTAACATTTACTAAACTTTGAGTGTGCTTGGCAAAATCTGGAAGGGACTACCAAAGTTTCTGGAAAACGAAATGAAAAGAAAAATTTATTTTTGGTGCAAAGACATCTTGAAATCTATGCATAGTTTTTTTTTTTTTATGAACTTTTCTGAAGCTCCCTCATTTTTGTGATCCTCAGAGAAACAGTCAATCTGTAGCATACTTTTCCAGACAGATGAGGGCTTCTTGTTTCAAGTACTAAAACTTGAAAAGTTTGTGATCATTTTGGATGGAAAGCTAAGTGGAGTTTCCTACCCTTTTCCAAAAAGCTGTTGGACTATGCTGAATGGGCTTAAAAAGATGTGTAAGGTTTTTGCTCCTATGGTCAATGGCTTTATGCTGCTCTGCTTTTTGAGTTAATTGCTCTTCTTATGCTATCAGCTCATTCAAATGCCATTTATCTTGTCCACCCAAGAAAAAAATCTACTCATCTTTTTACTCAAATTTCACTCTTCTAGGGGATCTTTCCCTGAACAATAACCTGATATCCTGCCACCCCATGTAGAACTTGTCCACTTCCTTCTCCTGTGTTCCCATGATACCTTGCACAGACCTCCAGCCCCCACCTGGAACACTATTAAAGTATTTTCATTTTCTGGTTGCTCCACTAAATTGCAAACTCTGAAGACAGAGACCCTGCACAGCACAGTGCCTGACACAGTTTGTGATTAAAAAATATTTGCTGAGCTAAAGCCTCTCTCTCTACTTTCTGATCTGCTGTGGGCTTGGACAGCAGATAACTAAGCTAGTTAGCTGCACGTATGGTAGTTATCAGGCTCTGAGGGAATCAGGGACTCTCCCATGAGTTAAAGCACGTGGGCTTACTACACAGTCTTTGGAACATCAATGTTATCTCTCTCAGAACCTTTTTTGGATTACTTCTTAGCTTTAAAATAAACCATGTGCCAGAGCAGTAAGGTGCTACTGCACTTAAAACTATTAGGTAGTCGATCTATATTGTTAAATCAGAAGCTAGTGAACACTGCTAATTTAGGTGGAATGTTAAGAGAATATTAGGAATGTAAAAATAATGAGCATATGGCATTCACTGCCACTGCTATAGGCCCTTCTTAAATCTTTAGCAAAATTTTCCACAGAAGCAGTAAAGTACTGTATAATGATAGTTAAAAACAACACTGAAATGTGATATAGTATAGTATAGTATAGTTCTTACAGGTATATGATCTGCTTGGGTTTGACTCTTCTACTCGCTAATTATGTGTCCTGGGGCAAGGTGCTTAACCTCCCTATGACTGTTCCTCACCTATAAAATGGGACTAACATTAGTATTTATCTATTAGGATTGCAGTGAGGGTTAAATGTGACAACAGATGTAACACACCAATGCCTATTCTGTAATAACACACAACAGTGTTTAGCCTATAGTAAGCAATCCATAATTTTTTATGTGGCCAGAATTTTTATTATAATTAATTTGTCAGGAAAAGGTCCAAGTTATTTCACAACTCACTTACGCCTCTTAGATACCAAGACTGAACTGAGTCAAGGGAAATCAATTTTTTCCAACATCCATTAGTTAAGAGAAAAAAAAAAAAAAAAAGATGTGACTCTCTACCTGTTTTAAGTCCAGAAACCCAACTCAGGTAAGATGAACCCCATCAGTGCCTACTTAGAGTTGAGGGCTCTGTGGATGACACTGGTAGGAATTACATCACTCACACCTGACTTTGGAGTCACACTAATTCTTATCTGGTCTTTATCTTTAACTCCTGTTTTTGTCTGTTCACCTACTGTAGAGCTAAGTACATACTTACCAATTACAGACCAGGCAAACATCACGATGACCACAAAAAGACGAACCATGAAGTTTATGGGGCCCTGTTCAGCCAAAAGTACCAATCGGCAAATCAGCATTGCTACTGTCAATGGAAGTATGCAGTAGCCCAACACACAGAGACTTTGGAAAAAAGATCTAAAAACAACAAAATTCCAGCAGATCAGTATCTTCACACAGCTTATTACAGACATTTCTATATACCACCGATTGCCTCTCCCTCCTGATAATATATCTTAATTTTAATTTCATGACACTCTTCTGTATTAAGCACATGCTTTACTTTTCTCTTCCCATATTCTGCCTCCCCCCTCTTCAGCACCTAAAGAATCAACCATCAAAATACCAGATGATCTACTCTAATTCCCAGAAACCTCCTTCTCTTATTGAACCTCTAAGATGGTAGTTCTTAATCTTTTCTAGTTTATACATCTATTTGAGAATTTGTTTAAAGCCATGGACCATCTATCCCCAGAAATACAAATAATTTTCTAACAAAAAAATTCTGTCTCTGACTTGAGAGACTGGAGATAACATCTAAAGCTTATCAAAGGAACCTAGGTAATTTAAGATAATTTAAATCAACTAGGTTATCTCTGTTCACTGGTTTTATTTTTGTTTTTTTTTTTAAAGATTTATTTATTCATTTGAAAAGCAAAGTAACAGAGAGAGAGGGAAAGACAGAGATCTTCCAGACACTGGATTTACTTTCCAAATAGCCACAGGGCTGGGGCTAGGCTGGGCCAAAGCCAGAAGCCCAGAATCCCATCTGAGTCTCCCACATAGGTGGCAGCGACCCAAGCACTTGGGCTATCTATTTTCTATTGCTTTTCCAGGTGCATTAGCAGGGAGCTGGACCAGAAAAAGAGCAGCCAGAACTTGATCCAACACTCCAATATGGGATGCTGGCATTTTGAGTGGCAGCTTAACCTACTGTGCCACAATGCTAGCCACTTGTTCACTGGTTTTAAGAGAACTTTTCTGGGGCAGGCACTGTGGCACAGCAGATAAAGCCACTGCCTGCAATGCTGGCATCCCATATGGGTGCCAGTTCAAGTCCTGGCTGATCTACCTCCGATCCAGCTCCTCCTTGCTAATGCACCCAGGAAAGCAGTGGAAGATGGCCCAAGCACCCACATGGGAGACCTGGAAGAAGCTCCTGGATCCTGGCTTTGGATCGACCCAGCTCCAGCTGTTGTGGCCATTTAGGGAGTCAACCAGGGGATGGAAGACCCTCTCTCTGTAACTCTGCCTTTCAAATAAATAAATCTTTGGGGGGTAGGGACTTTTCTTTGGCTCATATTTTTTAAAAATACTGAAAATCTAGGATATAGGGGCTGACACTGTGGTGTAGTAGGTTAATCCTCTGCCTGTGGCGCCAGCCATCCCATATGGGTGCCAGTTCTAGTCCCGGCTGCTCCTCTTCCAATCCAGCTCTCTGCTGTGGCCTGGGAAAGCAGTACAAGATGGCCCAAGTCCTCGGGCCGCTGCACCAACATGGGAGACCAGGAAGAAGCACCTGGCTCCTGGCTTCGGATCAGCACAGCTCCGGTCATTTGGGGAGTGAACCAATGGAAGGAGGACCTTTCTGTCTGTCTCTCCCTCTCACTGTCTGTAATTCTACTTCTCAAATAAATAAATAAAATCTTAATAAAAATCTAGATATAACTATCTGGCAAAGGGAAAAAAAGAATACCTTTTAATGATACTTACATGTTTCCTCCAAGGAGTTTTGAGTTGAGTGTGATGGTTACTGCACCAAACCAGACGATGACAAAAACTTCGGCAAACTGAGGTCCTCCATCTTTTTCATTATCAGCAGAACCTCTCTGCAGCATTCTGAGACAAGGAAACAACAGGAGAACTGCCTCATCTTTTACTTGGAGCAACAAAGTTAAAACACAGATTCTCAAATGTCCAATCAGATTATTGTGCTATGTCCCGCCTGAAGATCTGTAAGTGCTAAAAGGAAAATGCCAGAAGTATTTGACAAAGGTCTCTTTACATTTCAAATGCTTCAGGACTACAAGGGGTGCCCCATCTGACCTTGTCGGAATACGTAACTGGATTACTGAAGACCTTTGTCGTTTAAACAGAGGTTATAAACTGAAGGGCCAAATGAGGCTCACAGACATGAGGTGCTTTGGGTGCACGCCAATACTTTCAAATGGTTTCAAACTTAAATTGACATTATTTTAAAACCAGGTGGTTTCATATAAGAAAACATATTTTCTGGATTTTCCCTGAAGCCTTTTTTTTTTTTTTTTTGACAGGCAGAGTTAGACAGTGAGAAAGAGAGAGAGAGAGACGAGAGAAAGGTCTTCCTTCCATTGGTTCACCCCCCAAATGGCCACTACGGCCGGCGCTGGTGCCGATCCGAAGCCAGGAGCCAGGTGCTTCTCCTGGTCTCCCATGTGGGTGCAGGGCCCAAGGACCTGGGCCATCCTCCACTGCACTCTTGGGCCACAGCAGAGAGCTGGACTGGAAGAGGAACAACTGGGACAGAATCCGGCACCCCAACTGGGGCTAGAACTGGGGTGCCAGCACTGCAGGCAGAGGATTAGCCTAGTGAGCCGCAGCGCTGGCCAACCCTGAAGCCTTTCTAACACTGGACCTACATTCTAACACAGGAACAGTCGGGGCAGCTGGCATAGCAGCAAGGGGCATGTAATCACCCAGCCACTACTGAAGGCATTTAAGTAACTTCTCTAGCCTGGATCTGTAATTATTGGGTTTTCAGTTCAGATACTTTAAAATGGAAACAGTCTATAAATCAATTTAGTTGTTGACTTGTTAAAATTAAAAACATATAAAATATTAATAAAGGACTTTGCTTTGAAATTAAATAGTGAACAATCTCAAATATCCTAACAATTTTGCAGGCATAAACTATTTTGATTTTAGACTTAGAATACTTGGACTTGGTATCACTATCAGAGTTTCTGATAGAAACTCTTCCATCAAGGGATTTGACTGCTTCCCTTGACATGTTTATTGAAGGCATAAGAACTAACCCTGTATATTACCTAAATCAGCATATGCCCAATTTAAATTAAAAAGATAGTGGAGAAGTTAATAAGAAAATTGTTGAATTTAGAACTACAAAGAGTTAGGCCTGAAAAGGAGTCTCAAACATCTCCTTCTACAGATCCGAAAGAGCCCTCGAATGGTGAGTAGGAAGAGATGTGTCCTAGTCAGGGAAGTAGAGAAAAGGCAGTCAGAACACCCAAGAGTGACCTAGGTCTAGTACTCATGATATGATCTTGGTAAGTCTTCAATCTCTTTCATCTCGAGCCTGCTTGACAAAAAAGCAAAATAATACTGAATTCTTGTTATGAGGATACAATAAAGAAAGATATTTAAAAGTTTTCTGTGAATAGGGAAAAAAATTATTATACAAACTTTAGTTGTTAGTAGCCCAAAGTCACACAGCTAGCTGGTAGCAGAGTCAGGATGAGAAGCCAGAACTTTTTCTACCTTATAAAATGGTTAAATTCCCCTCTCCAATGGAACCTTCTCCCCCTTCTGTCCTGCCCCTTTACATATGGAGGAACTTCAAAAAGTTTATGGAAAATGAAATCAATGGTAAGTTTATTTTGGTACAAAAAATTTTTGGAAATCCACACATAGAAGATCTTTAAAATGTTTTGCACCAAAATGAACTTATCTTTTTATTTCATTTTCTATGAACTTTCTATTTCAGAAAGTAGAAAAATGTACTTCCCATTCTTAATGGGAAAGTATAACACTTTGAACTCTGCCATTTCTAATTTATTCTCATTCACATTTTTACTAGAATTGAGTAGGAATTGTGTTTGCGAACAAATGTTATTCAAACCTACACATATTTAATTCTCTAAGTTTAATGATGAGAATAAATGTTCAATAAATATGGCTAAACTAAGAAGTCCTCTGTAAAAAAAAGTGGACATAATTTTCACATCTTTAATTCTACCAATTTTTATTTGATCCAGAAAGCTATTTGACTTTTTAGGCTTTAATACATAGGAGTATAGTATGTCACAGAGGTCCTAAATGAAATATTCAGCCAAAATTCTCCTCCATTTTCAAACTCCACACAGAAGTCTAGTCTAGCTCAATTGACAAATAAAGGAAACACAAGTACTTACAACGCAAGTGCCACACAAAGGATCAAAGGGCCCCACAAGTCCCCTACAAAGCAAAAAAAAAAAATCGCAAATAGGTAATATTTTCTATCTTTATTCTAATTATCTACTTCTTTTACTCTTAGATTTAAGATATCAAGATTTTTTTTGTCTGCTCAAGCCTTACCACTGCTCCAATTCCTTACTGACACCCTTGCTTCCCAATTCTGAATGTACTTCTTCACGTATCTTTTAAGCTTTGTTCACCTCATATTCCACGAGTCACTCTTCTTCCTATCAACTAAGGCACATTCTAGCATGCTATAATTAAAGACCAATGGTGGGGCTGGCGCTGTGGTGTAGCGGGTAAAGCTGCTGCCTATAGTGCCAGCATCCCCTATGGATGCTGGTTCGAGTCCCAGCTGCTCCACTTCCAATCCACTCTCTACTATGGCCTGGGAAAGCAGCAGCAGTTGGCCCAAGTGCTTGGGCCCCTGCACCCGTGTGGGAGACCCAGAAGAAGCTCCTGGCTCCCGGCTTCAGATAGGCCTAACTCTGGCAGTTGCAGCCAATTGGGGAGTGAACCAACAGATGGAAGACCTCTCTCTCTCTCTCTCTCTGCCTTTCCTTCTCTCTCTCTGCCTCTCCTTCTCTCTCTGTAACTCTGACTTTCAAATAAATAAATAAATCTTTTTTTAAAAAAAGCCAATAGATAAGCAGTCAAAAGACCTAGATGTCCCACCCTGCACATGCAGAAGGACTATAGCCAAGTTATGTCACCAATCTGAAACCATATTAGGTGAGAGAATAATCAGGTTCATTTCACAAATGTGAAAAATGAAGCCAAGAAAGAAGTGACTTGCTCTAGTTTATAGGTGGAGGTGGGAAGGACCAGAACTCAGGTCTTCTGAGTCTTTATCCAAAGTTCTTGCCACTCTACCATACCACTTCTCTTTCTTAATTCTAATGTAAAACTGATACGGAATTGCTATCCTTCTAGGTGAGAAAAAAACCAAAACAGCCCAATATTGTAATTTCATAAGGTTCAACTTTAACAACATGTTAGAGCTTTCTGAAAACTAAAAAAAAAAAAAAAAAAAAAAAAAAAAAGGCTCTGTAGGGGGCAGGTTTTGGCCTAGTGGCTAAGACCATGGTTGGGAAATCCACATCCTATATTGAAGTGTTTGGTTCGAGTCCCAGTTCTGCTCCCAATACCAGCATCCTATTATAGACCCTATGAGGTGGTAGGGGAGGGCTCAAGTCGTTGGGCCCCTGCCACCCATGTGGTAGATCTGGACTGAGCTCCTGGCTCCTGGCTTCAGCCCCCTGCCATTGCAGACATTTGGGGAGTGATCCAGAAAACAAGAATGCTCTCTCTGCCTCTCAAATAAGTAAATAAAACTTAAGACTCTGTCAACCTCAGATCTAACAAAAGGCAGTCCTAATCAATAGCTGCTGACAGATTAGTATGCCAACAGTTTGGTTTCACAGCTTAGAGCATAATGTCCTTCTTCAACTAACCCAAAAATATTCATGGCAACTTTAACTTCATATGTATAGAATTTTACCTACAAAAGATATGCATATATACATATAGTGGGGTTTTACCAATTATATAAGTAATTTTTACACAAAATTTTGTGATTTGGAAAAGCTGTAAAAAATCATAATCTCCAATAAAATTATTGATGATCTTATTTTATCAATTGGAAACCTGCATTCACGTATAATCACACTAGTATGCTATTTTAATGCACTAAAGATAAAAATATTCATAACAGTATTCTTGGCTATTTTCTTGTTGTAAAACATATAACAGAAAATTTACCACTTTATTTCTTTTTTAAAATGTTATGTATAGATTTTCATTTTATCTGAAAGGCAGAGAGAGACAGAGAGAGATCGTCCACCTGCTGGTTTACTTGCCCAGTGCCTGCAACAGCTGAGGCTGGGCCAGGACAAAGCCAGGAGCCCAGAACTCAGCATGGGCTTCCCATTGAGGTGGAAGGGACCCAGGTTTGAACCGTCATTTGCTGCTCCCGAAGTGTATGTTAGCAGGAAGCATAAAACCTTGGCCCTGTGATATGGGCATCCCAACTGGTGTCAACTGCTACACCAAACGCCTACCTTCATTTTATTGTATTTACTATTTACATTTATTGTATTTACTATTTATTGTAAATACTATTGTATTTAGTGCATTGCGCACTAACACTGTTGTACACCTATCACTGCCATCCATCTCCAGAACTTTTTCATCTTCCCAAACTGAAACTCCATACTAATTAAACAAAAAGTTCCAATCTCATCCCTATAAGCTCCTACCACCGACCATTCTACTTTCTACCTCTATGAATCTGACTACTCCAACACCTAATGTAAGTGGAATCACGCATATATGTTCTTTCATGCTTGGCTATTTCACTTAGGGTAATGTTTTCAAGCTTCATCCATGTTGAAGTGTGTGTCAGAATTTCATTGTTTCTTAAGGCTGAGTTCTTATGTATAAGGCATATAATGGTATTTTATTTATCCATCCATCAATGAACATTTGGGTTGTTTCTACATTTCAGATATTGTGTATAATGCTACAATATACATGGATATACAAATATCTATTTGAATCCAGGTTTTCAGTTCTTCTGGATATATTCCTAGAAGGAGAATTACCAGATCATATGGTAATTCTATTTTTAATTTTTTGAAAAACCACAATAGAGCTCTCCACAGTGACTGTCCTATTTTATATTCTTACTAACAATACAACACAGGTTTCTAAATTTCTCCACATCCTTGCCAACACTTACTATGTTCTGGGTTTTTTTTTAAAGTAACCCTACTAATGGGTGTGTTTCTCATGTTTGTTTATTCTTAAGGTATGGATTTTTTCCATGCCATTTTGCCATGGGCTATGCTAACAAGGTATGGTAGAAATGCCAACTTCTGACCACAATTTCTTCATTCTTTGTGCCAGCCTATCTTTATTTCCCTACAAGGTTTGGGACAGACCTTAACATATGCACAGGTAATATGCATAATTAATAAGTAAACTAACACATTGGTTCTGCATTGTGGCTGGAGTGACCTTGCTTTGAACTGAGACATAACACCAGTTGAAAGGATATCTTCATATCTGGGACAGCGGTGGTAAAGTAGAAAGGACACTGAACTTAAAATTGGGTTCAAATTCTGCCTGTCTGGTTTTGACAAGATAGTTAACTTCTTTGAGACTCATTTTTGTTCTCATCTGTTAAATAGGAATAGCTCCTACTTCACAAAGTTGTTGGGAAGATTAAATAAGATAATGTGACTGGGGAGGAGTCGCTAGAATAGCTACCATTTGTGGAGTGCCTACTAAATGTTGGAGCTGTACTAGGTGATTTACATGCATTATCACCTGTAGTCTTACCAGCAAGGTACAGATGAAGCTTGAGCCCCAGAAAAGTTAACTGTCTTATCCAAGATTACACATTTAGTGACAGAACCACTATTCAAACCCAGATTTGTCCACATTTTTCTGCTGTACCAGCAGTAGCAAATCAGTTTCAAATCATGTGTCAGCTCCAACCCACAATGCACTGTTGAGAAGGAATCTTGTGCTGCATCCCGTCTCCACACAGTTATAGCACATTGGCCACATTTCTGACATCCCTAATTTTTCTGATAAAGACAAAGAAGAAAACCAAGTCTGCTTGAAAAGAAAAATATGACACCTAACAATTTTAAGAGAAAAGCCTAAGTCAGGGTATAATATTCATTGCACTGCTTTGACAGAACTCTAAGAAAACAGTCATCAGACTAAAGGATAGTTTTGAACATAGAAATGTCCCTAAGAGTAATATCAATATGTTAATTATTCGTATTTGTTGTTATTCTAGTTTAATATGCAAACATTTGTCCTTCTCTTAGAGATTGTTAATTTTTTGACTGCACAAAGCCCCTATATGTTAGCAGCTTCCAAAAATACTTTTTGAAATGTCTACTGTAGCATTTTCCAGCTGAGAGTATACAGTATATATTTATTGATGAGGAAAATGCAACCACCAAAATGCTCCAAATTCTGAAATTCCATTGTAAATTTTAAATTTCTTCCAAACATTTCATTTACATATTTTTCATCATGTGAAATGATGCCAGTTTGATTACCACAGGGCCTTTGTCTTATGAGTGCTTAGAATCCAAGTACACTGAGATGAAATAAATTTTCAAAAACCACACATACTTACAGTCTCTCAATAGGGTACTGCTTTTCCTGGGATATAAAACATGCATAAACTTTTTCCCAACTGATTTTAGATCACGCATCTGAAAGACACAAGCAACTTGTTATATTATAATGACCAAAATTGCCAAGGAACCCCCTCACTTAATTTGCTGGAACTTCTTTTATTTCAGTCTCCTGGGAGCTCTTCACTGAATTTTAGAACTAATTCCAGTTCAATTCCTTCACTGTACAAAGGAAACCAGAGAAGCAGGCAAGATATGCTTTTTCTACTGACCCCTTAAGCCAACATTTAACTTTTCCACATCCATCAGTTCTGTTTTGATTTTGAGAACTCTATGAAGAATATAGCCCTCCCCATATACTACTTAAAGAAACTAAAATAATAGGACTATGAAAAGCTGGTGGGCAAAACACGGTATGTGGCATTTGGTTTATATATGATGAGGTCCCAAGGGCCAATCAGCCTGCTCCTTAGATACCACGTTTTTGGCATTACATAAGAGAAATTAATTTCCATCATCCCCAATGTAACTGGTAAATGAATCCCAGAAGCCAGATACAAAAAATAAAGACATACAGTGAAGGATTCAGTAATACAAATATAATCTCTTAGAATACATTGGAGGCGGCTGGCACTGTAGCACAGTGGGTTAAAGCCCCAGCTTGCAGCACTGGCGTCCATATGGGATGCCAATTGAGTCCCGGCTGCTCCTCTTTTGATCCAGGTCTCTGCTATGGCCTGGGAAAGCAGCTGAAGATGGCCCAAGTCCTTGGGCCCCTGCACCCCTGTGGGAGATCCGGAAGAAGCTCCTGGCTCCAGATCAGCTCAGCTCTGGCCGTTGTGGTCATTTGGGAAGTGAACCAGTAGATGGAAGACCTTTCTCTCTGGCTCTACCTCTGTCTGTAACTCTGCCTTTCAAAGAAAAAAAAAATCTTTAAAAAAAGAAATTTTTTAAAGATTTATTTTATTTATTTCTTTAAAGATTTATTTTATTTATTACTTTGAAAGGCAGAGTTACAGAGAAGCAGTGGCAGAGGCAGAGAGAGAAACCTTTCATCCCCTGGTTCACTTCCCAGTTGACCACAACGGCCGGAGCTGTACCAATCCGAAGCCAGGAGCCAGGAGCCAGGAGCCAGGAGCTTCCTCTGTGTATCCTACATGGGTGCAGGAGCCTAAGGACTTGGGCTATCTTCTATTGCTTTCCCGGGCCATAGAAGAGAGCTAGATTGGAAGTGGAGTAGCCGGGACTTGAACCGGTGCCCACATGGGATGCCAGTGCTTCAGGCCAGGGCTTTAACCCGTTGCACCACAGTGCCAGCTCCTAAATAAAATAATTCTTAAAAAAATACAATGGAGACAATTCTGTCCTAGTTTTTTTTTTTCACTTTTGCACTTCTCCATTTCATTAAAAACTTTGTAAACATAATGTTTAATGGTTGTTTAGCATTCTATCACATGGATGTGACATAGTTTACTTAACCAATATCCCATCTGTTGTTCACTGAAGTTGATTTGAAGAGTGCTATAATGAATAACTCCATATATTAGTATTTTTCTGTGTCTAAACTTTTTTATTTTCATTTTTTTCCTTATACTATATTCAGTAAAGTAGAACTGTTAATTTGAGAATCCCTGATATTTTAAAATTCTTAATATTCATTATAACCAAACTACTCTTGAAAAAAGGCGGTGTCAAATTATTGTTTAATGGAGAATCTTAAACTTCAATAAAATATTGAACATTCGCGAACCAAATGAAAATATTCAAGAATGATATTAGTTATTTAGATCCATGATACTGAACAGTTCTTCTCTCAACTCAACTAGTCTAACTTACGATGGTGTTCCGAACAGATTCATTCAATGTAGAGTTGTCAAATTCCCGAATCCGAGATCTCACAGGAATGGTGATTTCACCTTCTATAGGGATGTCACGTGAGATGGCTATCTCAGAAAGGCCTGCAAACTGAGAAGAGTTAGAGAAAAAAACTTTTAAACCTATAATAAACTGCAACATTCTTTAAAGAGATCATCAATTCCTACAGCACAGGGACCAAATCTTTTCATGGGGTTTTACACAATAGTTATAGTAGGTGATAAGTCAACAGACTTTAAGCAATGTACTTAACTATAATTTTCAAATGATTATTTCTTTTAAAGGAGAAAAATCTATTTTTTCATTACATATTCTCATATATATTAAGATGAAAAATACATAAATACCATACACTTTTCTTCCCTCAAATTTCTGGTTTCTTTCAAGCACAAAATCTCTATATGACACAAGCTAGCATGAGTGAGATCATTGCAGAAGTATTAAAAGTGATCTTTCAGCAAAGACATCATAGGAGGCCACATTTCTGTGGTACTTCAGCTCCTTAGTAGGCTCTAGTGGCCTCTGCTGGCTAAAAAAAAAGAGCATTAAGTGATACAAAAAGGGACTGGGAAGAACAGGGAAAAAAAATCACAGCAAAAGAACCTTGATCTACATCTTTTAAACAGGTTTCTCAGCAATCACCAACCAGAAAACTTTCAAAGTGGAAAAAGAATCTGAACTTTCAAGCTGTTATGTTTATCTTTCAAATTTGATTACCACAACTGAAATTTGGAATCTACAAATTTCTAAGAAAACAAAAGCAATCCGTTTTGCAGATTTTTTTGTCTAATAGGTATAATTCTTAGTGAGCCACAGTTCTAAGTAAATGAAACATACTGAAATTTTAAGGAAAAATATTGAAATTTCTGGAAGAAATAATGGAATTTTAGGAAGTACACTGATATTTTAGGGAAAATTAGGCTGTTCAAAGATCTTATGAAAAATTAACTTTTCAACCACACTGCCATTTTTAAAATATAATAAATAAGCTGTATGATTTTTTTAAAAGATTCCAATAGAGCAAAATAAGGGAAAGGGAGAAAAGCTAGACCTCTTTTGTGACTCATATATATATATATGACTTGAAATCACATAAATAGTTTATATTATTATGAAACAAAATTAAAATTTAGAAGCAGCAATCCTTGAATTAAACACGTACTACACTGAGGGCAACTATTTTAACTGGTCATATAACCCTGTAATTTCTCTTGGGCAGGATGCAGAAAGCTGGAAAGAACAATCCCCCTCACCAGAACAATGAGAAAAAGCTAGGTAAATTATAAAATCACAATTTTCATTGAACCTATCACAGAGTGGAGGTTCTATGGTGACTGGACAGCCTGAATGCAATCTAAGGAAAGATAGGTGCTTCTGAAAGAGACCCAATACCAACACTAGCTCAACCGTAGCAAAGTATAAGGAGGAGATGAAACTGAACACACCACAGATGAGTAGGAAGAATTAAATTGGGGCCGGTCCTGTGGCGTAGCAGGTAAAGCCAGTTTAAGTCCTGGCTGCTCCACTTCTGATCCAGCTCTCTGCTATGGCCTGGGGAAGCAGTGGAAGATGGCCCAGGTCCTTGGGCCCCTGCACCCACGTGGGAGACCCAGAAGAAGCTCCTGGCTTCAGATTGG